GCAGCTTCAGGTCCCGGTTGGCTTTGACATCGTGCTCCGGGTGGTCCCCGTGGGCAGCCGCTCCTTCCTCAGGCTTTTGGGCTGCAGCGTCCTCAGCGTCCGGCTTCTTCCCAGCCTCCCTGGAGAGGCTCCCGCCCGCCCGGCTCTGCTTGCCCTGGGGCTGCTCCGGAGGCTCCCGGGGCAGGTCCGCGTCCTCCTTCCTTGGATCCGCTCTGCCGGGCGCCCCGTGGCCCCGTGCGGTGCCGGCTACGGGCCGACTGCTCGGGGAGCCCCGCGCCGCCTCCTTGGCCTCCATCTCGCCCAGCGCTTTGGCTTTAAGGTCTGTCCCCGCGTCTCTTTCCAGACTCCTCCCTGCTGCTCCCTGAACTTTGGCAGCCCCTAACTGTTCTCTTTGGACGGGAGCTGTAGCTGCTTCCGCAACTTGCGGGACATTTTTCTCACGGACGTCTCGTCCAGCGTTGGCTTCGTGACCTCCCAAATTCTCTGCCAAGGGCTTCTTTTCTAGGTGGTTTCTGGCTGCGGGAAGGCGCTGGGCATCGCCAGGACGGGGAACCTCGTTCTCTGCTGCCTTTTTAACAGCTCCGCCCGTGTCCTCCTGTGGCACCTCCACGTCCTTGGGGGGCGGCCCGGGAAGGTGGCGCCGGGGCCCAGGCTCCTCGTGCGGCTCCGCGGCGGCCTCCGCGCGGCCTCCCGGGCCGGCCTCCTCCCTGCTCCGGGGCAGCGGCTCCTGCTGCGCTTCTGCTGCAGGGAGAAGTTCCAATGAAAACCGTTATTTTCCATGCTGGAAACAGCTTCGCCTCTCCCAGCACCACATCCCCACGAGAGGGTGGAGAGGAGGTCCCCAGCCCCAGGAGGTCCCATCAGCCCCACGCATGGGGCACGGAGCGGGTCCCCACTCCCACGTCACGGCCACGCAGATCCAGGTGGATCCTGTGCATGCAGAGGGACCAGCTCTTTCCCAGCCTGATTTTAAGGCTATTTTGAGCAGAGCCCCCTCACAAGCAGCCCCGCTCGCTGGCCACGTCCTCACCTTGCTTGGGCTTCTCCTCCGCGCCCTCCTCCTGCCGCTGCTGGTGGATCTCCTTGTGCTGCTCCTCAATGACGGCCAGCAGCTTGGCTTGCTGATCAAGTAGCTGCTTTTGCTGCACCTGCTGCTCTTTGATCACCTGCAGCAGCACGGCATGATCAAGCAGTTTGGGCTGCTCCGCTTCTAAAATAAAATACAAATAAATAAGCAAGCAGATGGAGGAAAACGAGACCCACTGAGAGCTACAGAGCTGCCAGGACACACGAGGACCCTGGCAGCGCTCTGGCAGGCTCCATCTCGTCGCATGTCCTCCCTTTGGACAAGAGGGAAGGCCCTTTCCAGGTCCGTGACCTCAAAACCTCTCTAACAACCTCTTTGCTGGAGCTGCCGCGGTTCCTGGGCAGGGGAGCCCGGGGCTGCAAGGCAAAGCCCTGGGAGCTGCTCTGCGGCGCGGGGGACTCGGGACACGGCTCCCCAAACGGGACTCGGGACACGGCTCCCCAAACGGGACCCGGGACACGGCTCCCCAAACGGGACCCGGGACACGGCTCCCCAAACGCTGCAGGTGCAGGCGGCAAATCCAGGGCCGACCATAAGGGACTCGGGCTGATCCCCTCGCTGCGGCAAGCGGAACCTCCCGG